TCACATATCTACCACAAAGAAATGATTCTGTTTTCAATTTGCATTTACATTGTTTTTATGATTCTTTATTGCCAATCTTTTGTGCATTTTTATTTTTTTGGCAATAAGGTGTTACTGCCAGTGCTGACATATAGCAGTTTATGCTATACCCCTATATTGTAATCTGTGGTACCCATTTTATTGTTTGAAAGAATTGAGTATACACCATTTTCATTTAATTTGTTTTCTGTTTACTTTGTATATTTTGGGAGAGCTTTAACTAATTTGGTTTTTAATTATTTTATTTCTGTGTATAATTTAATGCTGGTCTATGGCTTACTGAGTGAGTAAGTGGGACTATAGTAGATGTTTCGGTTTAGATATTTAAACAATGCTTGGTGTTCCACAGTACAATACAGGTAGGTTCTGTTAGATACAAACTTGGTTTCTGGAACACTACAATTGAATAGGTCATTACCCCTCACAAGTCACACATACTGGTACTTTTAGAGGCAAAAAATTGAAGTAAATAATTGTTAATTATTACTCTATCAAGTACAATATTACCTCTATTGCCAGGATATGACCTTTAGAAGACGTGTATAAGTGAATGAATATATCCAGTCTGTTGATTAAATTAGACCTATTAATGATTAACTACAAGTTGATTGTGTTTAGATAGCCTTTCTAATTTTCAGATGACTTCCATGTGCCAATGTAATTCTATCTGAAGTTGGGATATAACTGTACAAAACCCTGTAAACTGTTCATCCTTGTATGCAAAGTCACAATTCAAACCTTTCTCAAATGAGTCTTGTTGAAATTAATGTGCATTTATATTGCATGGACACACTTTGAACATGAATGTTTTAGTGTTGAAGTACAAGTGTAAAAATGATTTGTTTTTTCAGAGAAAAATATATTCATACGAGTAGTTTCAATTTGTGTTGTTTAAACTGCCTTGCTATGCGTTGTCAATTTTAGGTGACTAACACGCCTTAAATACTTATGTGTGCCTTGTTTTAATGCCAGTAGCAATAATAAAGTATCTGAAACCATGTGCTTTTCTATTAGCATGAAGGTAGATTCAGCTTGAATCAGATTGTCATCGTACCACATTGCCCCAGTCATGTGTTAATGTCCCTGGCCTCTGAGCCAGATGAATAGATTTGTAAACCATCCTCAACTCCCAAAGCTGTTGAACTGAATTAGAGCGGAGTGCAGAAGTAGACTGCCTTGCCCAAGAATATCATCCGAAGATATTCAAACAAGCCTTTGAATGAGTGTCGAATATATTGTAACACAATGCCTACATAGTCATTTCCATGAACTGGTTGTAAACATGTTCAAATATTGGGTGCATACATGTACATACCAAGGTTGAAAGAAATCTGTCCAAATGCACGTCAGCAAAATGTCTACAGGTGGAACCAATTAGTCCCACTGCACTGGTGTATTGCAGCCATGTTTTCTGCTGCTTGATGTAAAATCTGTATTATGAGCCGCGGCTTCTATAAAAACATCTACACATGTGGGGAAATGGTCAATTTTTTGTTCTGAGTTCAAGAAGAATGGGTGCGACTTCTATACAGGATGCGGGTTCTAATACAGATTTTACAGTAGATGTAAAGGCAGTTTAAATCCGCAAACCAAACAAAGGCAAGTTGATAGACTTAATACATTTTGACCAAGAGTGGTATCAAGTACTGGTAGTAGTGACCAATTTTGCAAAATTGAAGCAACACTATAACCAGTCCATGTATCCACTGGTATGTTAAATCTAATATATTACTGCCTAAATACGGCGTTCGTGCCCAAGCGCAGGTGATCATTTGCCCGATGTTAAAATATTAAAAATATAAACATAATATAAAAATATAAACATGATTTTTTATAAATTTTCTCCAAGCAAACGAAAGTAGTTCCAGGAATTTCTTTGATCATTGGACCTCTGTTGCTATTGACGACGGTCCGTACATGGCTTACTGGACCGCAAAAAATCACTGGATGTTCCTATTCTGAAGTGTGTGTTTGATTGGCTGGGGGATGAAGGCACGTTTCAGGTACAACTCAAGCATTTTGCAATGCTAGTCACCACAAAGTATATGTGCAGACAGAACACTGGAATTATCTATATAATGCATCAATTGCAGTGTTTTTTCACTCAAAATTCTATGGTACACACAGAAAAGACCTATAATTTATATTTAATTTTTTTTTATTTGCAATATTTGGGCAAATACACAAGATAAACACTGACAATACTGCAAAACAAAATGTGCCTACAAGACAGACAGTAATAGTATTGCATGTAATAACATTGTACATCATGACTAATGGTACATAACGGCTATATAGTGTGATTAGCCTTCCATCTTCATCTAGAGAAGCGGCAGAAGTAGATGCTCTAAAAGCAAATCTCTTTATACCACTATTTACTTGTACATATTCTTTGCAAACGCGCAAAAAAAATGAATGACAGCTGCACAACCAGTTTGAATACTGTTGCAAATTATAAAAAAGTTCTAAAATAGTTAGAATCAAAGGCACATTTCTTATTTCTTTATATTGGAAATTTACCTGGATGGAAATTTAATCTACAAAATTTAATTTGGCACAATTTTAAATTTACCCAATTTGCATAGACAATCAGTGCAACTCTTATTCGGTATGCAACACAAACAAAGCTTAGCTTAGCTAAATTGGATGTGAAGATACTCGTAATTCAGGGTTTTATTTTGTGAATAAGTACACCAGGAACATTTACAAGTATAAGTGTTACATATTATAGGATTCTAAAAATTTATATATTTATAAATTCAACTTCTCTAAAAAAAAAAAAATATTTAAAATGTTATATATATTATATATAATACATTATTTGTTTGAAAAAAAAACACTTCTCAATAATACGTTCAACATGGAACTTTTTTCGACGACTCTTTATCAATGCTGCGTTATAGTGAATTAATGGGAATCCTCTTGCAACAGTCCACTTTGACATTCTATTATGGTAGATGTTTGTACTACACATGGATCAACATAATTGCCATGTATTACAAACACCCATGTGTCAACAAGGTGTCTGCAAGTATGCAAGGTCTGCATTCAGCCAAGAACTCTGCAACATCTGATGATTATTACACTTCAATAGTACTATTGCATTATAAATTCTATTGCATTGCTTATTCTATTTAGCAGCGAAAAAAAAAAAGTTCTTGCGGTTATTCATGTGGCTGAACAAAAATAAGAAACTTATTCTGAAATTATGTATTCAAATAAAATGAATCAACTTAGTGATACTTCAATCTAACTTGGTGACCAGCACCAATTATAAGACTTGTTTTGATTAGCTCCTCAACAAATATTGGTGAAGCACAAGCCAATCAGAAAGGACTAATGGGTAACACTGAACATATCAGTAAAGGGGCCTATAATTACATGTGGTGCCCCGGAATGAGTACATAATTAGATGTGATTCTAATTGCACTGAAGACTTATGACATGACCAGCATGTGTATCAGAATACAATTATGATAAAAAATTTAAATAATGAGCAGTGGAAATACTGTTAGCAAAATAAACATGTGCGTACATCTAATTATTTAAAATTGGCACAACAACTTCAGATAAGCTGTGAATTCTGTGCTTTGTTCTTTCATGGTACATACTTGAGGGTTGATTATTCAAGTCGATTCAAAAAATCTGAAGTAAAATTTGAAACTCATAACAAAATAAAAAAAAAGAAGCCATCTTCATTCCTAGGGGTGGTATGAAAGAAAACAATTTCATACAATTGCAGAATTATCTATAATGACTAGCACTACAAACTGCAGCCAGTTTATTTGTGTGTTTTTTTGAGATAGGGCAAGGCATGACAATACTGTCCTGGTAACAGCATTCAGTCATTTTGAATCCAATCTGGAGGG